TCTCTATTTAAATAAAAAATCCTATTTTTTATTTATTTTAATTAATTCTACAAACTTTCCTCAACTCTCACTAATTCCACCCATCTCCCTTATTTTATTAAACATTTATTCTAATACCCAAAACTCAATTTCTCACATTTCTCTATTATTTAAATTATAAAAAAAATATAATTAAATTCTATTTTTAATATTAAACTATTATTCCTCACTTCTACATTAATTTAAATATAATAAAACTCTACCCAAAATTTAATAACTTAAATAAGAACAATTAAATAAGTCAAAAAATACTCTAAACTCAATTAAAAATAAAATAATCAAAATTGGGGTGTTACACTTTCTCCTAGGATGCTCAAGTAAAATCAAATGTCATTGTATTTCCTAGGCAAAATCCAACTGTTGTTTTTCATCTATCCATTTTCTTTCATTTTGGGCCATTGATTAACCTCTCTTGCTCCCTGAATAAGGGTCATTTAGTGTTTCTAAATGTCTTTTTCACTCTTTGCGCAAACCATGAACTTCTTCTCATCTATACACTCTAATCTTTCCTCTTTGAGCTCCAGGGACACCCATTTTATCAGTGTCTTTTCTTATTTGGGCTCTAGATTTCCTGGTTCATTGAAATCTCAGAGTCACCTCTCTTTTAATCGTTACCTCCATTTTTTGCTTATTCAAGTACCATTTCTCTCTTGTTTACAGTTCATTGCTTTCCCTTTCGTTATTTTAGTCATGGCTAACACAGGGGATGCAACTACAAATATAATAGATATGCCCAATAGAGATGATGTTTCTTCTTCTACTGGGATAGTGAACCCAGTAATTTCAAACATTGACCCTTTATAGGTTAACCAACCTATCACAAATCTTATTCTTTTTAGTGATGGTTTTGAGTATGGTGGTCTTGTTGTTAGGGATACATATGTGAGTCCTTTTTCTCCCACACAAACTTTTGTAGATCTGGAACCCATTTAGGTTTCTAGGAATGAACGGATGACACATTATTTTATTAATTCTTTTATGACGGCGAACGATAGAGACCCCTGTGATATATAGGCTAGGATTACACCGATTTACTAAGCCATTCTCTGATTCATGACCAACATTATCTTCTCCGTACAATTGGGAAGATATGGTCCAAAAGGAGTATCGGGTCTGGTGCCGCCTGCTGATACTGCTCACTACCATTGGATGAAGGCGGAATCAGCGAGGTCCTTTTTCAGTAGTGCTTCCATTTTAGAGGGTGCCTACAAATACGTGGGACCATCTTTTGATTGGCTGGATTCTCACGCTGGATCTTCCAATAGAATTTACACGTCCTTCGATGGGTGCTCGATCCCTTTATATGAATGCTTGTTCTCCCGGTTGAAGTTTGGGTTATATTTCAAAAATTATGATGAATAAGTGTTGAGTCTTCTAAGAATCACCTTGTCCCAATTATACATGATAGCCCGAGCCTTCGTCAAGATGTTCTAGTATTGGTGCGAGTGTCAGGAAAAAGAGATGGCTCTAAATCTATTTTTCAACATTGTTACTGTGACACTTACCTCTATTACTGGGGACTAGGGCATGGATTTATTTCACTCCGTCACTCAGTTAAGGTATTTGATGTTTTACCTTGAGAGTTGGAAAAACATCAACAATCATTATTTCTTGGTGACCCCTCTGACCTGGAGGCTCACTCTATCTTCTGCAAAGTCCAAGAAGGTGAACCTTTCTTGCCCGACCCTCGTTATTCAGAGTTAGTGAAATGAAAATACAAGATCTAGAGATGTTGGGTATGGAACTATTTCAACCGGGAATCAAAGAAATATACCTTCTCATTAAACTCTTGAAACTGGAGGATGACTTGGTAGACTTTTGGGAGAGTTTGATCTAGAAAGAGGGAGTTGTTCATTCAAATGTGTCGCCTACTCATCATAATAAGAGGTTTATTAACATGCAAGCGGTTGTGGACACGACTGCTGCTCTTGAGAGGAAAAATATCTTTGGTGAGGAGAGAAACTACATTTACATTTGTGTTTTCCATTTTCATAATATTATGCTAACCATCCTTTATTCTATTTTGCCAATAACATGTCATCACTTTAAAATCTCTTTAGGATGGAGAATGTTATGGTTGTGAATGAGTCACTCACATCCCTTTATCCAACTACCACTCTAGTTCCAATAGAGGTGGCCACTGAAAAGTCTCTGAGGGAAAATGAGGCTCCACCTTGAGGCAAGTAAATATGATGGAACTAGAGTTCACTTCCTCCAAGACATAGAGTAATAAATTGAACAAATGATCTACCTCTGATGTCAAAGAGAGCACAAAAAGGGACCAGTGAAAGAATCTAACTCAAGAAGGACCCCTTATAAAAAATTATAAAACATTATGATATACCTTTTAAGGATTGTCTTGGGCGTTAAAGAAACAACTCCTTCCTGTTTCAAGTTCCCCAAGTCCTCTTATCCCAGAGGCCTCTGACTACTAAGGAGGAACGGTCTTGTATTAATCCTAGATTGTTTGACCTTATTAGTTCCCTCATAGGTAACTTGTAGAGTATCCCACATAGCTTTAGCAGTCTCACAATGGGAAATACGATAAAACTCATCAACACTAAGAGCGGATATGATAATGTTTTTCGCTTTCCAATCACGTGCCCACTTCTTATTATCATCCTCATTCCATAAGTTTTCTAGCTTTGGTATGGTAGCACCATCAATAATATATGTCACTGGTGTTGGACCATTTTGAATGGCTTCCCACACACCCTTTTCATATGAGCTGACATGAATTTGCATACAAGCTTTCCAATAACTATAGTTTTCTCTCATGAAAATTGGGGCTCTTTTATAATCCCTTTTAGGTTCGTATGTCATTTTCTAATAAGTTTCGAAGTCGGAATGAACCGGGCTCTTGATGCCACTTGTTAGACGATGACACCTTATCTAGAGGAGGTGAATAGACAACCAAGCCAAAGTTTTAGATAAAAGTTTGGTTTGAAAATTTTGATTAAAAAAGAGTGCAAGCAGAATATTTTTGAAAGTGTCATCTATACGAACCTTTTTAATTGGAACTCAGATATGAAAATATAAATTTGAGTATGGAATAAATACAATGATCAGAATTAATTGAACTTCAATCAAGTAACACGTTATCAATCATTTATAGCAAGTTACTAGTAATGTTATTTCCAATGGCAATTATCAAAAGAACTATTAAAATAATTTGTCGAACACTTGGTGTGCAATTGAATTTTCAGAATTTTATTTTGAGTTGTGTTGATACAAAACCACTTATAATCAAAAGTGATTATAAGCAATATCAACACTTAATTCAAAACAAAAATAGTTCAGAAAAATTCCTACGAGCCAATCGATTACACAATGATATTAGATAAATTTATTGATGAAAATAAAGCAAGTAAAACAATACAAAAAAGAGACACGAGGATTTGTCTTCACAGTTCTCGACTTTCGTCCTTGCGTGTGGGTACGTTTGCCCCTAATTTCAATGGAATTAGGATAATTCTTAATATGCAAAAAGTTTGATACAAGAGAAGTGTTCCAAGAGCAACTCCATAAACCCTAATGTTTGTTGTTGATTCAAAGCCTTCTCTTCCTTTGATCTTGAGAAATACCAAGATACAATAGCTCCCAATTGGTTGTCTAGATCTTGCTACTCATTTGCATACTTTATCTCTAAAACTTTCGCGCACCACCAATTTCAACTACTGTAACACAAGACTTCAATTTGATTCGTCGTTCTCTCCAACTTCATTTGCGTTCTTTATCTCCAATTGATCCTTTGTGTTCTTTATCTCTAAAGGGCTTCACTTGGATGTAATCCTATTTTGAATGTCTTGCACGAAAACCCCAAAATCAATCAATGATCTTGGAGGACAAACCTGCAGTTTTTCCGGATGAAGACCCCTCCAAATCTTAACCCAATATTATCGGCTACACAAGAACTTAATTAGACGTTATCGAACCTCGTCTAGATGGAACCCCAACAAAAGATCGTTACAATGGTTTTTTAGTGTGTATGCATAGGTTGAATGTTGAAGATGAAGAGTAAATGCAGGATATTTTTATTATATCATCAAGTTGGAATGATGCATGAATGTTGTATTTATATTTTTAGAAGTTTAGGGCAAAGAGGAGATTTTCGGAATTAAAAATATTTGAAAAATTGACCAAAAAAATCAGTATGTGTTGACCTAAAAATCATATGTGTCGACACATACATTAAATTTAAGCTGTATGTGTCAACCCGAAGGAATATATGTATCGACCGAAGCAAGTCAAAGGCTACAGGCTTTAAAACAACAATAAATGTGTCAACTTGAAATTCATGTGTCGACACATAAAATAAGATTTTTTTTGTAATTTTAGAAAAGTTTCAATATGTGTCGACCTGTATAATGCATGTGTCGATCTGAGCCTTCTAGAGGCTACAAACTTCAAAACTCAGTTGCATGTGTAGACTTGAAATTCGATTGTGTCCATATAATGAAAATTTATGCAGAAAACTTGTTTTTCATGACTTGGATCAATTTCAAAATGGTTTTTAATGCTTCCTAAGATCCCTAATACAAAGGAGTGCCACAAGACATAGAGATACCATCAAATACACATAAATGCTAGTTTTTCCCGGTTTCGACATCATACAAAACATTTAATGATGAAGTTATACGCACAACCGAAAATTTTAAAATGCCTACCAAAAATTTTGTTCGAACAATTTATTCAATTTTTGACCAGAGATACTTTTGACATTATCAAAATATGAGGATCCCAAATTCAACTTGGGGATGACAAGTTAAAACCTAGGAAAAAACGTCATCTTGTAGGACTTAATTTACAACTCTAATGGGCCGGGCTTATCGAAACTCAAGCCCATAGTTGAATCTTCTGCTTCAAGGAGTACCGTCTTGATCCTCTGTAAATTAGGGTTTGCAGTTTCTTCATTTTTGTTTCCTCAATTTCTCTGAAGTTCATTCACCAATCTTCCAACAATGACGAAACATGATAATGAACGAAACCGGAATCACGAAGAGAAGAATAAACGAATGACAATGATGAAGAATAAGAAGAGGAACATTTCGAGGTTGGGTGGGAGTGGACTTTCGCTTGATGCTTTCGCTAATGCCAAATCCAATAACAGTCAATACAATCCATCGCTCATAAGTATGCAAATTTCTCTTCTTTTTTCAGTATGATTCGTATTTTATTTTTGTGTATACTTGATTAGTTACACTTACTGATTTGAATTATAGTTTATGAAATTTGCTGTATAGAGAAGGTAAATAGTAGAAGAAAAATTAGGGTTTTCTGTTTCATTTGAGATGTTAGTTTTTACAAACGGAGGTTTGGGAAAAGTAAATTGCAATCAAGTAGTTGGAAGTGGTTATGACTGCAATTGAATGGTTAGGTTAGTAGTAGTAGTAGTAGTGTAGTACAAGATTATTTTGATTACTTTTGTTGAGTATGAGTGTTGACGGAGAAACTTTTTATCTTTGATGCCTAATTAGATCATCAATTTTGAAAGAGGAAAATGATGCTAGCTGTGCTATTTTTTATTTTATTTTTAAACTTGGTATCCGGCCGACTAATCCAAAGGGACCACCAACTCTACGGTCCACTAGCGGGGGCCCATTTTAAATTAGAGCAAAGTTCAGGATAAACACTTAGCGGGATTCAAACACGAGACCTGAGAGGTCCCATGCCTTCACCAATAGACCAACCCCTTGGGGTTGCTAACTGTGCTTATTTTCTGTTAGCTTTGGTCTGTTAAGGTTGCAATTAAATGAAATAGGATGCATGGAACAACTGAGGATAACAGAATAAATTACCACTCAACTGTTTGGACGTTTAGATAATGGAATGGAGAAAATTTTGTTCCCTTACAACATGCCCTCAAATTTGAGCAGAAGAAAAATTGGGATATCAAGCAGTGGAGCGTAATACCATTAAATTATAGCACTCCATTTTGTCCTTTAACATATCTTGTTAGGCTTTTTTTGTTAACAATTCCACCTTCTTGGGCAATTTTTTTTACCAAACTCCTTTCCCGAATTATATATCAAATCTTCACTTTGTGTTTGTATATTATTATTTATTTTGTTAATGAGTATGTTTAGGTCCTTGTTATTTTATACACCACTAAGATTATTTGGGGCAAATGCGAGGGGAACATATGTTCAACCTTATTGCCTCCATTGTATCCAGTGCAGTCCTATCTACACTTAATTAGAGTCTAACAAGATACCATAATACTTCAAGTGTGGATATTTCAGTGTTTGACACTTCCCAAGTAAAATTGTAAGATTCATGGAGTTATTAGATTAGACACATGAGGATGTTATAAAGCCGATGTGCCTAATGAATCCAAATATATTGGTGCTTTCAGTTCATGTCAAAAATTATATATTTTGTTGGTGTTTCTAGTTTCCATGTTTCCTTCAACATCAGTATTCATTGTTGTTTTGGGGAAATGAGGTGCAATGATATTAATTAATGTTTAAGTCGTGACTGATGGGGGTCCAGCGTTGTGTCAGACTCATTTAGGTTCTATTATATAAGTCATACCTAGCATTTACAGCACTCACGAGAGGCTGATTTCACAATTTGAACTAGTTATGTCCTATCATGTAATAACAATTAAGTAGTTTCGTTTCGTCAAGCATCTCTTCCGAAGGAGAAGGGAGATGTTGGGCTTTGAATAACAAGAATGAAAGTACTAAGTAGACCATAGGAAGCATTAAACATGTCTCATAAGAAATTTCTGAAGGTGTATTTTAACTTGAAGCTACATATTTTGATGTTATGAACATTAGAAATGCCAACTAGTAAAGTAGTTTTTTCATGTCATGCTCCACTACTATTGCCATTTTAACTTAACAAGCTCTAAGCATGGTGGTCTATCCATGTAATAAGTACCATCATTGTAGGCAGTGTAGTCAAGATCGAGTATTGGGTCTTAAGATCTTACGTGCTAAAGTTGCCTTTTAGTGCTACAATCTGAGAGAGAACTTTTTTCGTGCACTTTGTGGTCAAGATCGAGTGTTGGGTCTTAAGATCTTACGTGCTGAAGTTGCCTTTTATATAACTATCATGATATGGGAAATACATAATATCTTAGATGATTAGACTTGTTTGTTAGATTTATGTTTTTTGAGCTACTTATTTTGAACAAAGTTGTTTGAACTTGTTAAATTATGGAATTATGGTTATGAGTTATTTGAGTTTGAGCTACTTATTTGTTTGAAGTTGTTTGAGTTTGTTGAAATGAAATGAGGTTCTTCTTTCCATTGACACTGATGAATACATCAACATAATTCTGATGATTATGCTATTTCGGGGGTGCTCTTTAGCTCTGATTATTTGGTTATGGAGCAGTCCCACTTGTCTATCAACATGATTGACTTTTTGTATGATAATCACAATGTAATTCCCTGAGTTGATTTCTTCAAAATATTTGATGAATAGAAGAATACAAGAAACTTTTTTCTTCGGTACTTTCGAAATATAATTTGTTCAAAAGATGCTATATTTTTTGATTTTATGTGGCTCTTTAAGGCATTGTTCTCCTGTCATGACAGGGATACAGTTTTTAAGGTCTTGGACCATTACCATTATGACTACATTCTACCACTTCTAATATGAACTTATGATTTAGGATGAGAACAAAGATCGGCCATATCTAACTTAAGTTCCTTTTTCATATTAAATAAGTCTGTACATGCTTGTCATGGGTGTTCTTTTTTCTTTTCTTTCAGAGAAGCAAAGGGAGATATACAAGAATGCTAAAAATGTGCAAAAGTATAAGAAGATGCTAAAGCAGCAAAACCAGCAAAATGATCCCCCGGTGGCCCAAAGACATATTGAGGTTCCATATCTTATTTGCTGCTTGCTGCGAGATTGTTCTTTTTACTTGTCTTTGGGTCAAGGCCGACCTAATATGTCATTTTCACATCTATCTAGTAATAAAATACTCTTGAATGTTTATTGTTTTAACGTACTGTTCATTTTCTTTTCTGCTTGGTGTTGCAGAATTTGAATGTAACTGAAGAGGACAACAAAGACAAGAACAAAAGGAGGAAGAGGAAGAAAGATAGTGCTTTTAGTTTGGAAGAATTATACAAGAAGCAACATGAAGAAAAAGAGAAAGAAAGAATGGAGAGGGAAGCAATTTTCCAGGAAAAGAAAGAACAGCAAGAAAAAGCCGAAGTTCACAGAAAAACTTTGCGCCAAAAAATGCTTAAGAAAACACGAAAAGGACAACCTGTCATGAAATACAGAATCGAACATCTTTTGGAGACAATTCAAAGCTCAGCTAAAAATGCATCTGGCAACTAATCCTAACCAATGGAATAGGAAAGGGCCAAATGCATCAAACCTCATGATCCCTTGAATTTCATGAGCATTTTTACTGAGAACTGTTATTCATCAGAATTATGTTGATGTATTCATCAGTGTCAATGGTTGTTGTATCAAAATTTGCACCTTAATTTATACCAGTAATCATAGTTGTAAACTGCAGTACGTTGTGTCTGTGTAAGTATTGAAATAGATAAACACTTGAAGCGTAAAATCAATTCAAAAAACAATTTCCAGAAAAGGTTATTTGCTTTTCATCGTATAGGAACACAAGATAAAATACAAAGTTGAGAAACCAAAGTAGTAATAATAATCATTCATGTTTTGATTGATGTTGTCCATAACTTTATCAAAAAAATTACACTTTGAAGCTTCAATATAATCGCGGTACATAATTTGAAACATACACTTACATGAAATAGAACAAGATTCTAAGATCAACAGAAATTGTTGTTGAGCCTCATGACATAGTAACAGGATGAAGATTCTTGAGTAGAGTAGTGGAAGAAGAAAAGGTCAACAAGGGTAACGACACACCACAAGTCTCCTCTTAGGCTGTGGAGAACATATGAACATAAAAATAATAGCAAGAAGAAGCACCACGAGAAGTCCTGTGAAATCAATGCATAATTGCTTGCACACCATCACTTGTTCTTGTGTAGAAAATGAAACAAAGCTAAACAAGTAAATGTGTGATTATGGTTTTCTTTCTTTATAAGAAACTAGTCTCTTCTAACTTATTAATATATTGACTTGAACATGATATTTCCAAGTCGTTTTTAATTGTATTTATGACGAACTTTCTTGAGTTAGGAACTTTCAAGGTTGTGAGTTTCAATATTTTTGACCAAATGAAAGAGCGTGAATTAATTAGGTTGGGTTAGGTTTTACAAGGTCTAATTCTATTTTTTTTTTTAAATTAAAAAATTATTTAAAAAATTTTTAAGTTATATTTTTTTAATGAAGTTTTAATTGAATATTACAAAAAAAACATATATTTATTTTTAAGTTTAAAAAATGTTAATTTTTTTTACAGTTTGTAATAAAATATAATTAATTAAATATACTATATTTTAAAAAAATAATTAATTAATAAATATCAACAATTTGTGTCGATCATCCTAATTTGATTAATGTCAATCTTCTTGATATATTTTCATCTATAAAATGCAATTTCTTAATAATTTTCATTTTATTTTCTTATTCAAGTTGGTACTAATTTATTTAATGCCTTCTAATCTCAGCCATGTTTGTAAATTATTAAATTAAAGATGATTCGTTTTTTTATATTCAATTATCAAGTATCCCCAATTGGAAATATTCCAAGATCAATCCATCTCAACCACAAGTTTAACATTTAGTTTGTTGACTTACTATGTTCTTTTACTTCCATTTACATGCTTACCAACCAAATAAAAAAATTAGACTTTGAGAATGTTAATTATAGACACGTCAATATACAAAGATATAATTTTTTTTTACACAATTAAATAGATATATTTAATTCAATAACCATTTTTCTTAATATAAATAACAAAAAATTAAAACTAGGGACGGTGAATTTGATTATGATTAATTTAAATTGATAATGACTTTTTTAGACAGTATTTACAAAAATAAAAAAAATATTAAGCACAAGTTGAGCCACAAGAGTCAAGCCAAAGTCTATTGATCAAATTTAAAGTTCTCTTTTATTGTTAAAAAAGTGTTTTTATTTATATTTTTTTAAAACATATATAGATATTTATTGAAATAACTTTTAGATATTTACAATTTGAATGAAAACTATTATTTATTTGGATTACGACAACTAATTCAATTCTTATTCAATGCTTTCTTTCTTTCTTTAATTCTAAATCTTAATTTTCTCTTGTTCTTCATCCTCTAAAGAAAGGTGGTTTTAGGATCAATCTTTGATCCAAAATCACTCTTTTAAATTCTTTTCCCTTTCCTTTTCATTCAAATAAGTGATTTCACATATACTTTTAGTTTTTTCCTTTGTGATTTCATCGTTTTAGTGCAACGTTGTGTTGATCGTCGTCTTACTGCAGCGTTATTTGATTTTTCTGTCTTTAGTGATTTCACATGTATGTAGATGTTACCATATTCATATGAAAACTTCTATCAAATATTATCCGACTGACAATTCTGATTTTACATTTAATATAAAAATAAATATAGAATTGACACTTTTAAATTAAAGTTTTAATCAAAAACTTATGAACACAATGAGATGTGTCATTTGAATAATTGATTTACTTTTTAAAATAGTACGAGAAAAATGTTTTTGGAGAAATACTGACATGAAAACATATTTAAATTTATGCTCTTAAAAACAACTAATAAAGAGAGAGAATTTTTTTTAATTTATTTTAAAAAAATTATTTTTAATTTAAATCATGGAGTGGTTGTGATGACGGAGAAGAAAGACAATTTTATTTTTATTTTTTAACTAATAAAAAAATTATAATTGATTGTGTGTAATATTACGTGTTATGTCCGTGTCTATCTAAGAATTTTTCTTGTTTTTGACAATATGAAAATTTATGTGCATAATTTTGCAAATAAACATGAACATAAATTATAATAAAGATCATTAAAATCAAACTAAGATATTAATTCAGTATAGCTAAGAATTTAAGATTCAAATGTTCAATTTGAAAATCGATGGTGTGAATTTATGAATACAATCGACCTGGCTAAGAAAATTAGAAAGCCTTGCCTCATTTTAAAAATGGATTTTGAGAAATTGTATGATTCAATAAATTGGGAGTTTCTGGAGTATTTACTTGTCAGATTTGTTTTTAATGTTCAGAGGATGTCTTGGATTAGAACATGTATTTTTGTTCGGAATCTCACGATGTTAGTTAATCGTTGTCTGACTCAAGAGATTACTATTCAAAGAGGTTTGAAGCAAGGGGATCCCCTGTCTCCTTTCCTCTTTCGGCTAGTGGTGAAAGTTTAAGTGGTTTAATCAGTAGGGCCATTGACTCAGGTCTTCTCTCTACCTTTAGGGTATGAGCCTCTGATTTGATTGTTTATCATCTTCAATATGCAGATGGTGTTCCCATCTTAACAAATCTATATGTTAAGAATCTTTGGACTATAAAGGCTATCCATAGAGGTTTTAAAGTTATATGTTAAGAATCTCTTTTGTCTCTTCTTTAAGGGGTGGAAGAGACTTGGGCTTTTGGAACTTGTTTTTCTTGTGGGAAAGTGTTCTCCTTCTTGATTCTAAGCAGGAAAACCCATTTCTCACTAGTTTGTGGATGGTATTACAGGGATGGTTGGATCAGAATTCTAGACGTATTTTTGGACTGACCCATGGGTTTAAAGTATCCCCCCCTCTAAAATAGGTTCCCTAAGTTGTTCATGATCATTGAGTATTCTGATGGGAGTGTCGGAAATGTGGGTAGGTGGGTAGATGAAACGCTCAATTAGGATTTTAGGCAGGGGAGAATTTTATTTGTCCACGAGGAACATGTTATCAAGAATTCCTTTCAGTCATCTAATATCATATTTTTTCCTTTGACAAAGATAAGTGGGTTTAGAAGTTTGCTAGGGTTGGTATTTTCTCGGTGTCTTCTACTTATCATTCTTTTTTGACTTCTTTTAACTATTCAAATCTTTCCACCTCTAGTGGGTTTTGAAATTCTAGCACACACAATATAAATGTCAAGACAGATGTCTCAACACACAATTACAATGTCACGACAGATGTTATGACATATATTGATTGCCAAAACTTTTACCAAAATAAAACTATGCAGAATTTAAAAGTGCAGAAGGTAAAAGAACACAAAAAATTGTTAATCCAGTTCAGTGCAACTCACCTACTCTGGGGACTACCAAACCAGGAAAAAAATCTACTATCAGTAGTGTTAATTCTAAGCCTAAACAATCTCAGTTTACAACTTATCACTTAATCCCTACCCAATGTAACTTCTACCTTAGAACCTCCTAGCTATGATAACCCCTCTCACTCTCTATCACCGCAATAATATTAAACAATCCCAATCTCAGGGAATATCTCAAGAAACCAAAAATAAGATTACACTTCCAATAAAAAAATACTCAGTTTGCTTAAAAGCTTCACTAAGAATAATACTCAACTCTTTGCTTAAAAGCTTAGAGGAGAACAATAACTTGATAAACAAGTAACAATCAGTTAACTCAAATGCATCAAAATATACATGAAGACGTACAAAGAACACCTGAAAAACCTAAGGAAATCTCAAACCCTAAACCCTTATTTTCACAAGGTTTTACAATAAAAACAATGCTTAAAAAACTAGGTCTTGGACGTCCCCTTAAATAGACTTCTGCAGTTGGGCTTGAACTCTTCAATCAAATCAAATCTTCAGCTCTAAATCCCCGCAGAATATTCTCCACAAAAATAGAAACCAAAAACAAATATTTCAAGTATTTCCTAAAAAGTATCAAAGATCCTTTTTATGAAACAAATCAAATCTGCAATTGTTCCTAAAAATCCTTGATTGCATGTGCTTGTTATGAGTACTAGAAGCCTCCAGAAACTCATATTTTCAAATTAAATCTTCAAGGATATTATCCAGCTATATTGTCATGATGTTCTATTATAACATGTTACAACATCTGTTAGAACTTCTATCAAATAAAGCCCGACAGACTTTGTTGTACCAACTGGTCAAGATGTTATGAGATCTTGCTCAATATTAGGCTGCAATACATGTTTTCCAAATGAAACATGTTTTGATCAAATTGTTGCCAACTCTTTATTTTACCAAAATTGTTTCTAACCATAAAATCACAAACCTAACAATCTCCCCTTTGGCAAATTTTGGCTAAAACAACCTTTGCACAATAACCCCAGAGAGAAGAATAAAACCACAAACGCAATTTACATGAATACATGTAAACTCTTTAAAAGATCAACACAACTCTTGAGATTGTACAAGAAGACATATTTATTACTCCCCCTATAATACACAATCAGTCTT